AGAGCCTTAATTTGGCCAATTTCCGGAATTTTTGGCTTGTGCCTGCAGCATGCCACCTCTCGGGGTTCCAAACCCCATCCTCAAGGTGGGCCCTGGTGATCTTAATGGGCCAGGCCTGCGCGAGGGGTGAATCGCGCAGGGCCAATAGGACTGTCCTTGGGTATATTAAAATGTCCACAGTCAAAGGAGGAGGGAAGGGCGGGAGGGCAAAGATGTCCAGTTTCGGCCACACCCACGAGTCTAGTCTCTGGGATAGTTCTTAGGTCTTAGGTCTTAGGTCTTAGGTCCTCCCGAACCTCCAAGGGCCGCTGGGAAGGCCATCGGGGCCGCCGGGACCGCCAAAAGGGCCACCCGAAGGCCACCGAGGCTAGGGTGGTTTGCCCAGGGGCCCATTGGGAGGGCCATCGGGGCCACTGGTCCAGATTCTTAAAGGCCACCGTGGTTACCCGAAGGCCCCCAGGCCCGGGAGGGCCGCAGAAAGGCCGTCATGGCCGTCGGAGATGTCTTCGCGGCCAGGGGAAACCACCGGCCGCCAGAAAACCGCCGGAACAGTGGAACAGTGGAACAGCTTGCCTCCAGTGGAACAGCTTGCCTCCAGAAATCATGGGTGCTCCATCACTGGAGGTTTTTAAGAAGAGACTGGACAGTCACTTGTCTGAGATGGTAAAGGTCAGGGGTAGGCCACCTTGGCTCTTTTATGACTGGTGGACTTCAACTCCCAGAATTCCTGAGCCAGCCATGCTGAGGGGAAAGGGAGAGGTTTCCAAGCTGAGCCATGCTGGCTCAGGAATTCTGGGAGTTGAAGTCCACGAGTCATAAAAGAGCCAAGGTTGCCTACCCCTGGTATAGGGTCTCCTGCTTGAGCAGGGGGCTGGACTAGAAGACCTCCAAGATCCCTTCCAGCTCAATTCTAATTCTATTTATTTCCATTTCCATTTCCATTTCCATTTCCATTTCCAATTCTATTCTATTCTATTCTATTCTACTCTACTCTACTCTACTCTATTGTATTCTACTCTACTCTACTTTATTCTATTCTACTCTATTCTACTCTACTTTATTCTATTCTATTCTATTCTACTTTATTCTATTCTATTCTACTCTATTCTACTCTACTTTATTCTATTCTATTCTATTCTATTCTACTCTACTCTACTCTACTCTACTCTACTCTACTCTACTCTACTCTACTCTACTCTACTCTACTCTATTCTATTCTACTCTACTTTATTCTATTCTATTCTCTCCACCAACCTGGATTTGGGCACCCCTTTCTGTTCCTATAGCCCATCTTCCACCTTCAGGGACCTCTTTCATGATGGGAAGGAAAGAAGATGGCCTCACCTTTGGTCTGCTTCACTTTCGGGGGAGATTCTAGAAGATGAAACATGTTCCATTGGTTGGTGCTGGAGGTAAGATTCAGGAGGAGCTCGGCGGAGATCCAGCACAGGAGCAGCAGCCCCCGAGTAGGAGTAGACGGGAGGCTGGATATGGGGATTGAGTTGCTGGGGATGATGGCGCGTGTAGTCTTGAGTGATGACTTCCTGTAAGAAAACAAGGGATATCCTTCTGTTTTTTCTTTGCGGTCATTTCTCAAAAGAGTTCACTATCGCTAACACCAACACCACCAGTTCGACTGGAGCAACACAAGAATCATTGGCCACGCTACCACCTGCCACGCACGTCCAAGCCTGGCACCCCACAAGCAATTCTGAAGAGAAGGACGAGGGGGGACATGATAGCAATCTTCCAATATCTCGAGAGCGCCTGGATCCAGGTCCCTTCCCTGAAGACATAGCCAAGTGGGTGTCTGAAGAGGGTCCGAACGGTCCCCCCACCCCCACAGTGTGGTTGTCCCAAAGGCGCTTTTTCAAGAGGCAGCTGGACTTAATGGGCTTTTCCTTGAAGACATTTCACTTCTCCTCCAGAAAGCTTCTTCAGTTCTAACTGAAAGGTGGGGAATTCAGGATTCTTCAGTTAGAACTGAAGAAGCCTCTTGGGTGAGAAGCAGAACGTCTTCAAGGAAAAAACCAAATTCAGTGGCCTCGTGAAAAAAGCACCTTTGGGACAACAAGGACCTGGATGACTGAGAATCTCCACAGACCCCCCAGTGTGGGATTTGTGGTCCTGACAAACAGCAGCTCTGCAGGTTTGCAGACTCGCTCCCAGCCCCAGTTGAACATGGGGTGCTTGTCTTCCATGCATCACATCGCAACTATATAAAAAAGATGCTGAGACTCTAGAAAGAGTACAGAGAAGAGCAACAAAGATGATTGGGGGACTGGAGGCTCAAACATATACGGAACGGTTGCTGGAATTGGGCATGTCTAGTCTAATGAAGAGAAGGACGAGGGGGGACATGATAGCAGTCTTCCAATATCTCAGGGGCTGCCCCCAAAGAGGAGGCAGTCAAGCTATTCTCCAAAGCGCCTGAAGGCCGGACAAGAAGCAACAGATGGAAACTAACCAAGAAGAGAATCAACCTAGAACTAAGGAGGAACTTCCTGACAGTCAGAACAATTAACCAGTGGAACAACCTGCCTCCAGAAGTTGTGAATGCTTCAACACTGGAAGTTTTTAAGAAGAGACTGGACAACCATTTGTCTGAAATGGTATAGGGTTACCTGCAGGGGGTTGGACTAGAATAGGGGTAGGCAACCTTGGCTCTTTTATGACTCGTGGACTTCAACTCCCAGAATTTCTGAGCCAGCATGACTCAGCTTGGAAACCTCTCCCTTTCCCCTCAGCATGGCTGGCTCAGGAATTCTGGGAGTTGAAGTCCACAAGTCATAAAAGAGCCAAGGTTGCCTACCCCTGGACTAGAAGATCTCCAAGGTCCCTTCCAACTTTATTATGATGATTATGATTATGATTATCAACAGATACATTGACCCACAACCAGCCTACGAACCCCTCAGAATCCAAATAAACTACACAGCCAACCAGAGACTGCACCGACCCTCAATCAATTCACGCAAGCCCCCTCCCCCAGAAGTTCACCTTCCAAGGAGCCTGACATGATGTAACCCCCCCCCCCATCACAAGACCCATCACCAACCTCTCACTGACGACTCACCCCTGACCCATCACAAGACCCTCACTCGATACACCCTTATAAACAGAATACCGACACGGGCATCCCCTAAACTCCGCTGAAGATGTTACCCAGCCTGGTAATGAAACGTTCGGAAACCAACCCAGAACCTTGGAGAATGAAGCTCCACCCTCAGAGACCACCATCTCTTTGAGGGACCCTATAGGTTGTCCCTGTCTTGCAACCATCCATTTACCAACTGAAGTCACAACATCGCTGGAAAAGATGACTTACAACCGGGTTTTACAATTCACGACCGTCGCCGCATCCCCACTTACGTTGATGTGCTGGGCCAGGGTGACGACCCGCTGATGTCCTTTGGCGTTCGGGGGTCCCTGTAACGACTGACCCGGGGACTGGCGACCCTCACTGATCTGGTGGAGCTGTTGCATGTGTGAGATCTCCGCTCCACAAGGTTTGAGGGAACCTAGGTGAGAAGAGCGGAATGAAGGTGGAATGAAACACGCCATAGCCAAGCGGGGAAGGGTCCCTGTTATGGATGGCGGAGACCCTGACCTTTCTCCTTATCTTGAGTCAGCTTCATCCCTTTCTCGTGGAGGACAGAGGGAGAGCTCACGGGGCTTATGGTTTCAATGCCGTCAGGACTGTAGTTCCCACGGAAAACTGAGGAACACAAAAGAGATTCTTAAAACGTTGGTGGCAGCCTCTCCTTCTCAGCAGTGTGACGACAGCTGGTAGGGCAGGGGTAGGGAACCTTGGCTCTTTCATGAATGGTGGACTTCAACTCCCAGAATTCCTGAGTCAGCATGGCTGGTTCAGGAATTCTGGGTATTGAAGTCCACCAGTCATAAAAGAGCCAAGGTTCCCTACCCTCAAAGGCCATTTTTGACACCTGGCATTCTGGGATCTCATTGCTTGGATCTCTATGTTAGAGAAGATGACTTGAGAACATTCAAGAGGTCCTTCACATCCAACCTCCGTCCTGATCCATGGGCCCTGGATTTGGGGGGGGGGACACTGTTGAGAAGCACACAGTGGGCTTCCACTGTGGTCTTTTGGAATACACTGAGGTGTCAAATGGTGCAGTCGCCCATCTTTAAGTTGTCCAAAATAAAGCTACAACAATATAATTAGAACAGCTTTTGTTTTGGACAAGCAACTCATTGGCCGAGCCATGTTGATGGCACCTGCGCGTCGCTGAGTTTGGAGATTCCCTCCAAGGGTTACTTCCATTCAAGCTACAACAAAACCCATGGTTCTAGTTCTAGAACAACCTTCCCCAACCTGGTTCGCGATCTTGGGAGCTATAGTCTCAACCAATCCGGGAAACCATAGATTGGGGAATGAACCGAGGGACAATTTAGTAAGCTGATTCTCTCTCCCCAACATCATCTGGGTCAACATCAGATACACTCCCCATGTTGCAAATCTGTCTACAGGTAGTCCTCAGCTTACAATCATTTGCTTAGTGACCGTTCAAAGTTACAACGCCACTGAAAAAAGTGACTTAATGACGGTTGTTCACACGACCATTGCAGCATCCCCAGGGTCACGTGATCAAGATTCAGCACTTGGCTTCTTGTAAATTGGACATATTTTTGACTAACATTTTAGTTTTTTCTTTATTAATTTTCAACCTTGCGACATCTCCATAATTTTCCAGCACTTGTAATAATCTTGTTCCAGATTCTAAGAGGTCTTCCAGAATGAAAACTAAATCGTCTGCATAAGCCTGTAATATAAATGTCTCTTTTCTGATTTCTAATCCTTTAATCAGCCTTATCTTTTCGAATTATTCTTGGAAGTACTTCTAAAGAAAGAATAAATAATAAAGGAGATAGTGGATAACCTTGTCTCGTGCCTTTTTGTATTTGAACGCTTAAATAAATTGTTATTTTTGCTTCTTGCTTAGAATAGATTGCTTTAAACATGTTTATAATTTTTTCTCCGAATTCCATCTGTTTAAGTTGAATCGACATATTCAATAAAATTTGTTAAAAAAAATAAATAAAAAAAAAAGATTCAGCGCTTGGCATCCGGCATGTATTCATGACAATTTCAGCATCCCGGGGTCACGTGATCACCCTTGGCCACCTTCCCAACTGGCTTCCGACAAAGCAGAGCCAGTGGGAAAATCCAGATTCATTTAACGTCCGTGTGGCTCATTTAACAACCGTAGCAAAGGTGATCATAAAATCGAGCACCACTCACTTCACAATTGCCTTGCTTAGCAGTGGAAATTCTGCTCCCAATTGCGGTCGTTAAGTCGAGGACTACCTGTATCTCGGCCGACTTTAGCAAATTTACACAATTCATGGACAAAGCACAACATCAATTATCCTGGAAGCAAGCACGGTGCTGAAATTCGTGACCTCGCTCGTTCCGGTACTTCATACATTTTGTCCACGGAGGCAGATAGACGGGTGTCCAAACAATGAAAACGACAATCGCAACCATGCATCAGAAGCCCCCTCTTGGCATGTCTGGCCAAGTGGGGGGGGCTTTGATGATGCGCTGTCATCTTCCCAAAGTTTTGACCCCCGTCTCTTTGGAGAGACCCCCGCTTCCAAATCTGGCCTGCCCTGCCACACACAACGACATGCTCAGGAGGAAATGAAAGGCTGAGGGGGGAAAAAAATTATGAAACAGGTAGGCTGAAAAATGGAAAACAAAACAGAAAAAAAAAAGAGGAAGAAGCATGAGCACAGGAGGGGTGCAAAATGGGGGGGCTTTTATGCAGATAACGCTGGGAACGCAAACGGGACGTCACCACAAATGTGAACATTAAAACGCTTTTTAAAAATATATATATATATGATTGCGGAAAGGGAAGGGTCTTTGGTAATGTCTCCGGGTGCAAGTTGGAAGGCCACCCAACGCCGAGAGCCGCCCCAACGCCCCCTCCAATGTCTTACCATCGCCATTGGCGCCGTTACTTAATGAACTTCTGTCGGGCATCCCCTTATCGCAAGAAATTTGGCGCGTGATAATGACATCAATGAAGCTGGCCGCTGTCATGGTGGTCTTACCGAGTACTCGCAGCTCCTGCTCCTGCACTGAAAAGGGTTTACTCTTTTCTCTACTCGGCGGCTCGGGGGCCGAAACGGCGTGCAGTGACGGGTCCAAGGGGTTATGATGCGAAGGCTGGATTTTCCCCTGTCCTCTGCTAAACGGGTGGATCGCCCCTGGCCCAGCAGAGGACAAAGTCTTGGGCTCCGTAGCTTTTACGGGCGAAGGTGTCTGTTCTAGGCCTGGCCCCGCGGACAACTTTGAGACGAAGAGGTGGTTGGCCTCGGGCTGAGACCGTTCGCTTTTGATGTCCTGGGTCCTGGAGGACGAGACCTCCTTCTGCACGTGGGCCGAGTCCACCACCGAGGCGTAGCTGTCCACGCCGCTTAGGGAGCTGCGCAACGCCGATGCCGGACAGAAGCCGGAGGAGCAGGCTGGGGACGTGGTGGCAGTGGATGAAGAGGAAGAACAGGAGGATCTGCGAAGCAGAAAGACCATGTTAAGAGATCTCCTGGGGGAGAAGAATGGAATACCCCCCCATATTTTGCAAAGGGGTGTCAATCAGAATGTAGTTATGGGGTTATTCAAGTCCTGGATTTGTGCAAGGACACACTGAGAAGTTGTGGGTGCTCCAACACTGGAGATTGTTACGAAGAGAGTAGACATCCATTTGTCTGGAATGGTGTAGGGCAGTGATGGCGAACCTTTTAGAGACCGAGTGCCCAAACTGCAACCCCAAACCCACTTATGTATCATCGGGTGCTGGGTGGGCATGGCCCATTGGCTGGGCGTGGCTGCGGTGGTAACGGCAGACTGGGTGGGACTAAAAAGTTCACTCAATCAATTCTAACTTTGCGAGATCTTTTTTTCCCCGCAAGAAGTTGAAATTGATTGACTGATTGAACTTTTTTTTTTGCACACGGCGGCGGACGCCTAAAGCGAAAAGGTTTTATAAAACCCAGCTGAAGGCCTAGGACTGGGGCGATGGCGCGCGTGCCCACAGAGAGGGCTCTGAGTGCCGCCTCTGGCACCCATGCCATAGATTCGCCACCACGGGTGTAGGGTTTCCTGCTTGAACAGGGGGGTTGGACTAGATTGCCTCCAAACTTGCAAGTACAAGATGGAAACTGAACTACAGACAGGCTGTACTTTCTCCACTTGCACAGATGGAGAATCTGAGGCCAGGCAGTTTTTTTGGGCTGGATTATAATTTGGGGTCTGCGATTGAAAAACATCTAGGGGAGAAGGAGCAAAAATGGGCTTAGTTTCCAACAGATTCCCCTCCCTATACTAACATCCAGAATTTGCATGTTAAGCACCCTAGGATTTTGCCTATAAGCCATGTTCCATCCATGTTCCTGCAATCTTTGCAGGAAAAGAAAGCTATAAAAGAACCATCAGTCAATTGCAAACGGCAGCTTGACCTGGAACAGCTGACAACCTACAAACAATGGTGGCGAACCTATGGCACGGATGCCAGAGGCGGCACTCAGAGCCCTCTCTGTGGGCACGCGCGCCGTCGCCCCAGTCCTAGGCCTTCAGCTGGGTTTTATAAAACCTTTTTGCTTTAGGCCTCCACCACCATGTGCAAAAAAAAAAAAAAAGGTTCAATCAGTCAATTTCAATGTCTCGCGGGAAAAAAAAGATCTCGCAAAGTTAGAATTGATTGATTGAACTTTTTAGTCCCACCCAGTCTGCCATTACCACCGCAGACACGCCCACCCAATTTGCCATGCCCACCCAACTGGCAACACTCAGCCAATGGGACATGCCCACCCAGCACTCGACGATGCAAAAGTGGGTTTTGGGTTGCAGTTTGGGCACTCAGTTTCTAAAAGGTTCGCCATCACTGACCTACAACGATCACATTGAACCTCATCAAACAACATCTGCCTATCCCAGGTCCTTGGGAAGGACTGACTAGGTCAAGGAGTTGAAGTCCACGAGTCATAAAAGAGCCAAGGTTGCCTACCCCTGGACTAGGTGGATAAAATTGCCAAATCCAGTCTGAACATGCGGCTGAGTGTAGATGACCAGGCTGAGCCCGAGAGAGGGGTCAAACGTGTCATCTGGCTTGAGTCCCTGCGCACCCACGAGAGATCTAAAGTCCCGCCCACCTTGAATTCCGTTGACTCTTCTCTACCACCAATTTGCTTTGACCCTTAGTAGCTCAGATTCTTGTAGAGAGCCTAAGCTTGCAATCATTACACAGACAGTCCTCAACCTCCAATAGTTCATTTAGTGACTGTTCAGAGTTACAACAGCACTGAAAAAAGCGACTTATGACCGTTTTTCACACTTACAACCGTTGCAGCATCCCAACGGTCACGTGATCAAAATTCAGACGCTTGGCAACCGACTCATATTTATCATGGCTGCTGTGTCCTGGGGTGACGTGATCTGCTTTTGTGACCTTTATGATAATGTCAGAATCCAATTATATTTCAATTTCTATCTACCTACTCTAATGAAAAACCAATTCTTATTCTATTCTGGATTCTGCCATACTACGAAAAGGGAGGAGGGTAAGCATGGAGGGGTTTATGACTCTCACTTCCTTCATTAACTACAAAGTGACCGTTTGTGGATTCTCATTGAGAGGACTAACCATAACAATGTGGCCATCGCCTTTCATCTCACTCCTCTTTGCCGGCAGTGAGGAAAAGGGGGTGGGAAATACAACACCTGGGATCTGGGAAAAGAGGATCAGTGATCGTGCCAACGGAACAGACTGATGGATTGAATCGCCCAGAAGAACTGTGGGGTGGGGGCTGCTTGGAAACACTTTAAAACATTGAATGGTGGGAGAGGATTCCCCAGATCCTGTCTAGCATGCCTGCAATCAGCTTCTCTTAATAAAGATCCCTGTTGGAAGAGACATTCCAAGAGTCCTGTCTTCTTAAGATGTAAAATTGAGGTGGGTCCTTACAGATAAGCAACGTCAATGGGGAAGCCAGATTCACTTAACAACTGTGTTACTAACTTAACAACTGCAGTGATTCACTTAACAACTGTGGCCCAAAAGGTCATAAAATGGGGCAAAGTTCACTTAACAAATATCTCACTTAGCAACAGAAAGTTTGGGGTCAACTGTGGTCGTTATGTCGAGGGCTACCTGTATACATTTGAACTGCCTGGATTTCCCAATTTCCCGCGCTTGATCCTGATGGTGTGACAAACCAAGAAATGATAATAATAGACAAGCAACCAACCCAGAATTTGCGCCGTGCATTTTGTACCGTAGATGTACGTCGAGAATAACGCACTTCCGCTTTTCTGGAATTTGACCTACCGCAAGACGGAGGAAGTGAGGCCTTCTGGGGAGATGATCTTCATGTTGGTGTTGTGTAACACACTGGGCCGCTGCTGAATGTTCTCCTGTGCGCGAGGGGAAACCGGGGAGTGTTTGTGAGAGTGTGCGGATGTACGGCCGCTGCTGTGCTCGGTGCCTGTCGTAAAAGATGGAACGGAGGCAAAATGAGACGGTGCGGAGGCCCCTCCTCCTTCCCGTCCGAGGTGGTGGACCTCTGCTCATGAACTCACCTGGCCTCCAGATGGGCGCGTGCTCCACCGTGGCTGTGCTGGTCACAACCGATTTCTTGCGTTCCTTTTCACGGTCCCGTTCTTGCTCCCGTTCGGAAACCGGGGGTCCCGTCTTGGGTAAATGTGCAGGGGTACCTGTGAAGCACAGGCTGGTTTTTTTCCCCACTGTGGATAAGGCGCTCTAGAGCTGCTTTGCTATTTCATCCACCATCGTTGTCCAGCAAAAAAAGCATTCAGCTTGAAAAATCTCTGTTAAAAGCCCAGAATTGTAAGGTCCTTGGTGCCCTCCCAGCTTAAAGAGCACTAATAATGTAACTCAGTTGGGTCATGAAATGTTTGCAAGAAAACCATGCAGTTCAGGGAACACCAAGGACCCCACAGTTGTCGTCGTCGTCGTCCTCCTCCTCCTCCCTCCCTCTCTCTCTCTCTCTCTCCCTCCCTCCCCCTCTCCCTTCCTCCAGAAACCCATTCCCTTCTAGCACTGATAATATAACTCAGTTGGGTCATGAAACGTCTGCAAGAAAAGCATACAGTTCAGGGAACACCAAGGACCCCACAGTCCTCCTCCTCCTCCTCCTCCTCTCTCTCTCTCTCTCTCTCTCTCTCTCTCTCTCTCTCTCTCTCTCTCTCCCCTCTCCCTCTCACTTCCTCCAGAAACCCATTCCCTTCTAGCACTGATAATATAACTCAGTTGGGTCATGAAACGTCTGCAAGAAAACCTTACAGTTCAGGGAACACCAAGGACCCCACAGTTGTTGTTGTTGTTGTCGTCGTCCTCCTCCTCCTCCTTCTTCCTCTCTCTCTCTCTCTCCCTCTCTCTCTCTCTCCCTCCCCTTCTCCCTCTCCCTCCTCCAGAAATCCGTTCCCTTCTAGCACTGATAATAGAACTCAGTTGGGTCATGAAACGTCTGCAAGAAAACTATAAAGTCCTTTTCCTTATCCTCCTCCTTCCTCTCCACAAACACCACTCCCTTCATGTACTGGTGATGTTCCTTGGTTGGGTCTACAAAAAAACCACCAAGCTCAGAGAGCACTAAGGACTCCACCGTTCAACCCTGAGTTACAAATATTCTCTTCTATTAAAACCCAGAATGCAGAATATTGGTAGGGAACCTGAAGTCTTCAGATCTAAATGAAATTCTGGTCATCCACTTCATCCTCCTTTCTCTGCTTTGCCTTGTTCTTTTTTTAGTAGCCTATTTCTTCTTTGCGTTCTCCTTTCTTCTTTCCCTTCCCTAAACTTTATTTTCAAAATATTGCCACACACGTGTTCCTAATACGCTCGTCCAGGATTAAGGGGTTCTTGAACATGGGCAGTCAGACTCAATCAGAGTCTTGAACATGGGCAGTCAGACTTAACTCTGGGCTAACCTAAAGCCGTGGCTTGTGGTGTTCTTTTTTTCATTTGGGTGATACCAAGAAGCCACAAGGTGGTTCTGAACCTCTCAGGGTGATAAAACTGGCTCCAGCAGCCCACAAACCCATACTTCTCAGTTGATTTGGACCTGCCTGGTCCCTCTTCTACCGTTCTTCTCCAAGAAATCATCACCTACTTCCTTCAGCCGGTCTAGAACAGGGCTTTTCAACCAGTGGTACAGGTACCACCTGTAGTACATTGGCATCTGGCAGGTGGTACGCGACCATCCTAGAAAAGTGATAGCGGGGGAGGGGAATGAGCTGAACCGGTGGCAGCACCGCACAAGCCTGAGCGAGAGACGGCTGGAGCTGCAGGGCTGTCAGGGCTCAGCGGAAGCGCCAGGATCAGCGCCAGGCTCCAGCTGGAAAGCAGCACTGATCCTGGCGCTTCTGCTGAGCCCAGAAGAAGCGTCAATCAGCTGGAATGTTGCAGCCTCTCCAGGGTCTTGTGATTTACATTCAGATGCTTGGCAACTGATTCATATTTATGACGGTCACAGTGTCCCAGGGTCATGTGAAGTGACCAAAACCTGCTGCAACCACCCAGCAGACGGGGGGGATAAAAACCAAACACCCCCACCCCACCCCTGCTGCCAATCCTCAACAGAAATGCTCACAACAATGAAAACCTCGGACAGGAGGAAGAGCGCCGCCGGGCGGGCGGGCAGGCAGGTGTCTTGCTCGGCTGTGGCTTGGGGGACACTTTTTTCAGTGCCATTGTAACTTCAAACAGTCACTAAGCGAACTGTTGTAAGTCGAGGACTACCTGTACTTCATCACTTTTTTCCTTTTTGGTCAAGTTTTTGACACCCTGCTAGGCGACTGGTGGTACTCGGATGTTGCCATATCCTAAAAGTGGTACAATGGGTGAAAAGGTTGAAAATCCCTGGACTAGGACACAGCCTTCTTCCTTCCAGCTTGTCTTCTCTTGTTCTCGTTTACCTCCACTCTCCCTCTCTGGACTCTTTTACCTGTACACAAGGTGGATCTCCTTGCCAGGCAGTTCCCAAAGAAGGATATTTTGGAAGCATCTCACATACTTCAGGTTCTAGGTTCCCTCCTGACTCACCTGGAGACAGGGGTGAGCTACTGTGTCGGCCGCTAAAAGGCTGGGCAGCGCTGTGCATGTAGGTGATCCGGTCCATGGAGGCTGCAGAGGCGCCCGGGGTGGGGGGCACAAGCACAGGGAGGTGTGGTACTTGAGACAGGTCAATTATCCCTGCTGGGAAAAGGAGAAATTGGTTAGGAACGGAAGGGAGGAGCCCAACTGGGCAGTGTCCTCCTTAAGGCCATGGGGCTTAAGTTTGTCAGGCTGGTCTGCTCTGAATTCTCTGAGTTTTTGCTTCCGTTGGGTGTGTGTGTGTGTGTTTCTTCTCTTTAAGAGTCAACTCATGCCAAGGGGCTCACTTCAAGAAGAATCTTGTGGCCAAACCAACCAACAGCTTTGCTGAGAATGAACAACTGGCAAAGAAAGACAGAATGGGACCACTTGCCGCAAAACAATTCAACAAATACAAAACTTAAAATTAATTTTGACAGAACAGTGGCCAGTGATATTAAAATAAAGTCAACCAATTGAAAAAAATGATGACTGTTTAGATTTGGATGCTTTTAATAATTAATGGAGTGTTTTAAATTAGTAGGACGACCTTTTTGTACGACAACAAAGACGTGATAAGGCATGGTAAGCAATTGGAGAACATTTGAATTTTGTTTGATGAATTTGAATGAATTAAGGTTTAATATTATCTCGTTATTTTAAAGAGATGGATTGATTCTGGGATTACATATGTATAGGGCTGATTAATATTTTACTGTTATTAAGGATATCTATTGTGTAGTGGAAGAAGAAATAAATGAGATTGGTGATAAAATGAGGGATGTGAGAGATTAAGAATTAGAATTGATAATTTGTTGTTTTAAACTTAAACTATGGTAATTGTAAACTGATAAAAGTTATAAAGCAGGTTTAGTAGTAATAGAAATTTAAAACAGAAATGGAATATTTAAACGTATCATGTTAATTGAGGGAAATAGAGAGGGGATAGCGAAATGTATTGAGCTGAGTTGTCTATATATGTCTTTACTTTTGAATGTTTGACCACCCAACCACCACGGTGGGTCCTGAGTACTTTTTCTTAAGAATTTAAAAAAACCAATAAAATGTGTTAAAAAATAATAATAAAGTCAACCAGAAATACAAGAGTTAGATTAATTTTGACAAAAGCGTGGTCACCAATAATGAAAGTAAATGAATGATTAATACAACATTGAGGTGTCCCGAAGCGAGTTGGCTGCGGTGAATTGTCCCAGACCCAAGAAAGGTGTTGCTTTTAAAGATGGCTTAAGAATGTAGGGCAAGGAACCATCAAGCCAACATTGTCCTCTACAGGAGCGTCCCCCAAACTTCCTGGCTTTGTGGACCAGCGGAGGGGGGGGCAGAGGGGATGGCTCCACAGTAAGCAGCGAGTATGTGTGCATGCAGCTCCATTTGCGTGAGCAGCGGGCATGCACGTACGCCGCTTGCACAAATGGATCTGCCAGATGCACGCTCGCTCGCCACTCATTCAAGTGGAGCTGCGTGCAGCACTTGCCCACCACTTCCGTGGCCCGGTTCTGAACGGGCCACAGCACGGGGGTTGAGGACCCCTGCTCTACAACCAGTAGAGACTCTGCTTGATGTCTGTTCCCATAACAGCAAAACCCGGAGCAAACACAATTGATGGAAGTCATTCTTCTAAATCAAGGGTGTCAAACTCAATTTCATTGAGGGCCGCATCAGCATTGCGGTTGTCCTCGGGGGTGGTGGCCAGGGGGGGTGCGGCCTACTGGGTGGGCGTGGGTGGAGTGGGTGTGGCCTACTGGGTGGGCATGGCCAGCTCTAAATCATTTGCGTCAAGGGTGCCTGTGGGGGCCTGGGCAGGAGTGGGACAGATCTGAGGGTCTCTGGCAGAAAGGGGTGGGACCAGGGCAGAGCCCATCAAGCCAGATATGTGAAGTAGGCGAGAGCCATTTGCTGGCCACTTCCAGGCGATGGTCCATTTCTTCATTCCTCACAAAGGGTGACACCTCCCCAGCATGCACCCAGGGGGCAGAGCCGACGCGGCAGGGGCTGGTTCCTCGCTGTTTCCAGATGGCCTTGTGGAGCTAAGACTGAATGGTTTCAGCATAGATGGCCACCACAAAATTGTACACTGGCTCCCGGCCAGTCGGCCTGAGCCAGGGCCAAGGCAGCGGGGGCCGTTCCCTCACTGTTTCCAGGATAGCTTCGCGGGCCACATGAAACCACGTCGCGGGCCGCATCCGGCCCCCGGGCCTTGTGTTTGACATGTCTGTTCTAAATCATTGTGTCTTGTCTCAGACCCGTCACGATCCACCGTCTCATGGGTGTTTGTGCAAACAAGTCTCCAACATGGCTTCCCCTCCCACCTGGGCACCCCACGGATTCCAGACCTGCTGCATAGTTGAGAGCCATGGAAGGCTCTCGTGGAGACAAGCCACGGAGGAGATCGACTCTCTGCGCCATGGTAGTAGCAGTGGCAGCGTTGTGGTGCATCTGTTGGGAGGTGATGTAGTCGTTGATGATGGTCTGTCTGTTCTCCATGGCGGCAGTGTCCGGGTAGCCACGGATGAGGTAGGGCGGGTAGAGATGGGGGTACGTAGGACCAGGAGCAAGGTGCCTCGGCAAGTAATAGGCAGCTGTTGAATCAAGCAGAGATGAAGAAGGGATAGAGATTAACAGAGGGATAGAATCAAGATCACATGAAGGGTTAATACCACTTTACAAGGCCTTGCTAAGGCCACACTTGGAGTACTGCATCCAGTTTTGGTCACCAGGATGTAAAGAAGATGCTGAGACTCCAGAAAGAGTACAGAGAAGAGCAACAAAGATGATTAAGCGACTGGAGGCTAAAACATATAAAGAACGGTTGCTGGAATTGGGTATGTCTAGTTTAATGAAGAGAAGGACGAGGGGGGACATGATAGCAGTGTTCCAATATCTCAGGGGCTGCCCCAAAGAAGAAGGAGTCAAGCTATTCTCCAAAGCGCCTGAAGGCAGGACAAGAAGCAACGGATGGAAACTAATCAAGGAGAGAAGCAACCTTAGATCTAAGGAGAAATTTCCTGACAGTTAGAACATCAGTGGAACAACCTGCCTCCAGAAGTTGTGAATGCTCCAACACTGGAGGTTTTTAAGAAGAGACTGGACAGCCATTTGTCTGAAATGGTATAGGGTTTCCTGCCTGAGCAGGGGGTTGGACTAGATGACCTCCAAGGTCCCTTCCAACTTTATTATTATTATTTATTATAAGAGAAGGTCCACTTCTACATATTCCAGATCTAGTTTTAGAACATTTACATTTGCCAGATCTCAACTCGTTTCTTCTACATCTTTCCATAAAGCTCCACTTAAGGTCTTCCAAATCCTTTCCCCACTCTTTCCCAGAGCCAATGTCTAGATCTAAGTGCAACTATACCATGTTGGGAGGAGAACCCACTGTCCAGATTGCTGCTAAGCTCTTCATGCACCTCCAAGCTACCTTTTTGATCAAGTCCCATACAAAGATCTGTATTCTTAAAAAAACAGTCCAGTCTGCACCGGGACTAATCTACACAATGTCCAACAGATAATGGTGTATGGACTTTTCATCCTCCTCCTACCTGCTTCCAAGGGAATCCCTCGGGGAATGGCCGCGGGGTCAAAGGTCAGTGGAATGTGGCCTCTGTATAGATCCATGCCGCTTGTTCCGCGGAGCAGATGCTCATACGGAGACATCGGGTGATGGTGGTCTGGAAGCGGGGTATGAGGAGACTTGGAGCTGGTGATATCTCTGGAGGTGGTTGTGACCTTCCTTTCTTGAGACACGGGTTTTCCAGCAGTGATGCTCCCTGTTGAAGGACACCAAAAGAAGAAAATATTTTGTAGGTTAGGGTTGAATTGTGAGGTCCTTAGTGTTCTCAGAGCTTGATAGAATGATGAGGTTCCCTAGTTGGGTCATGAAACGTCTGCAAGAAAACAACCAAGCTCAGAGAGCACCAAGGACTCCACAGTCGTTGTCCTCCTCCTCTTCCTCCACCCAAACCCCATTCCTTTCTAGCACTGATATTGTTCCCTAGTTGGGTCATGAAACATCTGCAAGAAAACCTCCAAGCTCAGAGATCACCAAGGATGCCACAGTTCTTCTCTCTCCTCCTCCTCCTCCTCTCCTCAAACCCCACTCCCTTCTAGCACTGATATTGTTCCCTAGTTGGGTCATGAAACGTCTGCAAGAAAACAACCAAGCTCAGAGAGCACCAAGGACCCCTCAAATTAAGTAGATATGAGGGCAATTTGGAAATAAAGCTCCGTTCGGTTATCAGTGACAGACACTCGCAGATACAGAACTTTCATTATACACATTAGAAAACTACAACATGACATGACTTTTCGACATAATCGCCATTCAAGTTGAGGCACTTGTCACAACGTCTTACAAGGTTTGAAATTTCTTAGTCCTAGTCGCTCGGTGCCAAATCTGGACTATTGGGGGTGTGTGTGATCAAAAACATCCCAACGGAACGGGTTGAAAAGTTCTTGGGTGCGTCTAGCAGTGTGCGGGCTAGCATTATTGTGAACCAACACCACACCGGAAGTCAGCAGGCCCTGACGCTTGTTATGGATGGCTCAACTGAGTTTTCATAATGTTTCACACTAGATGTCTCAATTGATGGTCGAACCACACTCCATGAACTTCACTAGTTGTCCTCCTTTGGCATCTTCACATTTAGTGGGTTTTTCTAGGGTGTCACTTCTGGTGTGGTGTTGGTTCAAGACAATGCTTGTCCGCACACTGCTAGACACACCCAAGAACTTTTGAAGCAGTTCCGTTGGGATGTTTTTGGTCACACATACACACCCCATAGTCCAGATTTGGCATCGAGAGATTACTAAGGAATTTCAAACCTTGTAAGACGTTACAACAAGTGCCTCAATCTGAATGGCGATACTATTACTACTACTACTACTACCCTGGACTTAACAATTGTCAATAAGAAAGACAAAAAAGTCTGGATAGTGGACGTGGCAGTGCCTGGAGACGGCAGAATAGACGAGAAAGAACTGGAGAAGATAACAAAATACAAAGACCTACAAATAGAAATAGAAAGACTGTGGCAAAGGCAAGCAAGGGTAGTACCAATAGTAATAGGCACCTTGGGTGCAATCCCAAAACAACTGGAGCACCACTTGAATACCATCGGCATTGACAAATTCGCCATTAGTCAATTGCAAAAGACAGCCTTACTAGGAACTGCTTCCATCCTGCGACGAGATCTGTAATACCATCAAACATCCACATCTGCCTATCCCAGGTCCTTGGGAAGGACTCGATAGGTAGACAAAAATGCCAAATCCAGTCTGAACATCTGGTTGAGTGTGCGATGATCAATAATAATAATAATAATAATAATAATAATAATAATAATAATAGAGTTGGAAGGGACCTTGGAGGTCATCTAGTCCAACCCCCTGCTCAGGCAGGAAACCCTATACTATTTCAGACAAAAGTCATGTCATGTTGTAGTTTTCTAGTGCGTATAATAGAAGTTCTGTATCTGCGAGTGTCTGTCATTGATAACCAAACGGAGGTTTGTTTCCGAATTGCCCTCGTATTGGCTTCCTTGAAGAAACCGCCACCCAACAGGGATTAGAAAGAAGCCCACCATTCCTGAGAACGGCCATGCTGTGCTTGAAACATGACCAAGAGTGGTGGCTGCAGAACATCCAAGCCTCAGATGTTTCTGTAGAAAGCTGTGCTGAAATACCTTGAGTTCTAGAACCAAGCTGACCATCTCAAAAAGGGTCAACAGAAGAAGCATGGCGCTCCCACACAAGTCCCCAAGAACAAGCAAGATGGCTGACCTTCAAGTTGCCTGGGTGCTGCCTCTCTTGTGGAGACAGGGGACCCTCGGTGCAAGTGACCTCCATAAGCTGCCCCGTGGGCTGTCTGGTGGTCCTCGTAAGCAAGGGGGCTGTGGCGAGGCTTCCCCGGCTCAGGAATAATCATGGGGGCTCCCCTCGTGATGGAGCCGCCAGAGTTCGTCACGGGGCTGGGCCTGTTTTTCAAATTGTCCTCGTAAGCTCTTTCCAGCGTCCTTGGGTCCTGCATGGCCTCCATTGGGAGCATGGGATGGAAATTCCTACCGGGGCTGCCAATAATAGACCGGACGTCGTGCTTTTTGGTATTTGTGGATGTGTTTGTGTCGTATTTCAGCGGAGTACCCTGGAAGCGAGAGATGAAAAGAAGGGTCAATAAACTGGCAGATGAAGGACAGGACCACGCTAGGTCAAGATGCCACAATTCATGGATTGGTTTATTTTAATTCACGCTCTTTTATGACTTGTGGACTTCAACTCCCAGAATTCTTGAGCCAGCCATGCTGAGGGGAAAGGGAGAGGTTTCCAAGCTGAGCCATGCTGGCTCAGGAATTCTGGGAGTTGAAGTCCACAAGTCATAAAAGAGCCAAGGTTGCCTACCCCTGGGCTAGACATACCCAATTCCAGCAACTGTTCTTCGTGTGCTTTAGCCTCCAGTCCCCTAATCATCTCTGCTCGTATGCACATTTTCCTATTATCTAATACAGAATCCAAAAGCAAAGGACGCCCAAACTGCTACACGAATCCAGCCATCTGTTACCCCAAAGCCCGGGAATCACCCCGATCCCGTTGCTATGGAAACAATCTCCCCCCCCCCATTTTTACCAGCCAACAAGAGTGGATGTGGTCCAAGCATTGTTTTGGGAATCTGGAACTAGGAGAACCTTTTCTTGCAAACAGACTCAGAGCTTCAAGGCCGAAGCAGCCCAGCAGAGAGGCTTGTATGCAAAAATCCATCGACGGCGATAGATCACATTTGGCAGTTTTGGAACAGGTCGTGGTGCCCTGTTTGGTGTAACGCCAAGCCATAATTCAGCCCCGGGCAAACTAACCGTGGCAGATCTCCAAGGAGAGGTTAGAAGCCATCTGTTTACTCTACTTGAATGCAGCTCGGGGTTAAATCTCCCGTGGGTCAAGTTGGGGGTTAATTGAAATGAAGGAATGCGCCCTCTCCATTGTGCTGGGCAACTGGGGTCCTAGGTCACCAAGAAATGGCCAACTCGTTGTTTTTTTTTAAATTAAAAGAAAGGAGAACACTTATCGACACGTTTTTGATCGGCTTAAAGCAGCCCGACACCCAACAACGCGGCCTCTCTTTTTATCCATGCAATTCTTTCATTTCAAATACGAGTCATCCTCAACTTATGACTATAATCGGGACCAAAGCAAGATGGATGTTGAATGAACCATGCCCAATTTTGCAAGCTTCCCCTCCCCCCAGTTTTTAAGCGAATTACCGCAGCCGTTAAGTGAATCATGCAGTCAGTAAGCAAATCCGTCCTTCCCCATCGACTTGGTGGTCGGAAGACGCCGTGAAAGTCGCAAATGGGGATCGTGTGATCCCGAGAGGCTGCAACTGCCATAAATCCTGATTGCCCAGCACTCAAATTTCGATTATGTGACCGTGATGATATTGCAACCGTTGTAAGTTGGGGACCAGTTGTAAGCCACTTTTTCCCCCCCCGATGCTGTTGTAATTTTGAATAGTCACTAAGCAAATGGTTGTTAGGTCGAGGATTACCTTCCTATGAGTGTAATAAAAATTTGATTTCTTTCAAGCCACGTGAGATACCTGGGTAATCGACCCTTCCTTAATGGGCCGGGCCATCAGAGAGAGATCGGGCGTGCGACGAAGATCCTCCTTCGGGATTTCATGAATTGATCGCCCGGCTTCCTTCACCGTGGTGACCAGCCCTTCGTGAACCGCTTTCAGCTTCAACGGAGTGAGGGACTCGTGGCTCCTGACCTTGTAGGCTTCTGGTAAGTCCCTCGGTGGTGTGTTCTCCCTCTTGAGTTGCTTGGCTTCCCTTCGGGGATAGTCCTCTGGAGATTCCACGTAGGATCTAGGAATTCCTAAAGGAGAAACATACCGAGAGGACCCGTCAAGTCATCTTCTCCTTTCCTCTAGGATCAGGGGCCTCCAAACGTGGCAACTTTTTAAGATTTGGGGACTTCAACTCCCAGAATTCCCCAGCCAGCATGAAAAAACATTACCTTAGACCAGGGATGTCCAACCTTGGCAATTTCAGGATTTGTGGACTTCAATTCCCAGAGTTCCCCAGCCAGAATTAGAGGCTGACCGTCTCCTTATGATTGGTCCAAAGTCACCCAGCCTGTTTTCAGGCTTAAGGTGGGACTAGAACTTATGCTGGCTGGGGAACTCTGGGAGTTGAAGTCCACAAGTCTTAAAGTTGCCCTGTTTGGAGTCCCCTGTTCTAGATCAGGGCTTTTTAACCTTTTCACCCATTGTACCACTTTTAGGATATGGCAATATCGGAGTACCACCAGTCGCCTAGCAAGGTGTCAAAAACTTGATGATCCCCCCAAAAAAGGAAAAAAGTGATAAAGTACAGGTAGTCCTCAACTTACAACAGTTCGCTTAGTGACTGTTCGAAATTACAATGGCACTGAAATCCTGGGACACTGTGACCATCATAAATATGAATCAGTTGCCAAGCATCTGAATGTAAATCACAAGACCCTGGAGAGGCTGCAACATTCCAGCTGATTGGCGCTTCTTCTGGGCTCAGCGGAAGCGCCAGGATCAGCACTGAGCTCCAGCTGGATCCTGGCGCTGATCCTGGCGCTTCCGCTGAGTCCTGACAGCCCTGCAGCTCCAGCCGTCTCTCGCTCAGGCTTGTGCGGTGCTGCCACCGGTTCAGCTCATTCCCCTCCCCCGCTACCACTTTTCTAGGATGGTCGCGTACCACCTGCCAGGTGCCCATGTACCACAGGTGGTACCCGTACCACTGGTTGAAAAGCCCTGTTCTAGATAAGCAAAATGAGACATCTTTCCACCTTGTTTCTTCCTTGACTTAGCAGAATCAAGCAGCGTTAAGCTTGGGTGGACAACGGACGCCAAGAAAGTTGTCCTACCTTCCTTGCGTGATTACCTTGCGTGATGGAGCCTCGGATGTGATGTGGTTCTTTTAAGTTGAGCGGACTGTGTCTCTCGGAAGGCATGGTTCGGCCCATTAAACCTAAAATGACACACACACACACCCAACCAAGAAAATAAAAGTTAAAACAATGATATCTCCAAGCATGTAAATCTTTCTTTCATCAAGATGGAAGTAACTGTTGGAAATGTAAACAAAGGCCAGGTACTTATTATCATATCTGGTGGACATGCCCTAAAGCAAAAAAGGTTTTGGGTTAAGATACATGCGTGGTTGGAAAAGATGACTAAAAAAAACAGATAAGATTTTAAACCAGAACTGTTTTTGTTAGGAGTATTGGGAGCTAATTATGAGAAGGAGAGCGAATATTTAATATTACGTGTATTAACAGCAGCGAGAATTGTACTAGCCCAATATTGGAAAAATGAAAATTTGCCAACTGAAGAAGTATTAATCAAGAAAATTTTAGAATGTGCAGCAATGGATCGATTGACTTTAGCGATTAAAGAGAAAGAAGACTCAGTTTACTTTAGAACATGGGATAATTTCTATCAATGGCTAGGAAAACGAATTAGGGAGAAAGGAATGTGATATGTTATTTTGAATACATACCAGTAAGAAGAATGTTATGGATTGATTAATTAATACTGTTTATGATAACCAATTATACCCACTACTGTTATCTATTACTATATTAATTATTGTTAACTATACATACGTACCCAGACAATATTCTGTTTGCAAAATACTGAAAATGTTATTGGGGTACAACCCCAATGTTGAGCCTAACCCTGTCCTAATCCCAAACCCTACCCCAACCCCAGTTTAAACCCTAACCCCATTCCCGACCCCATTTTATTCCTAACCCTATAAAATCCAATAAAATTCTTTTTTTAAAAAAAAAAGATGGAAGTATTTCAGGTTTTGAATACCCTGAAAAGCAGACCGTAGAAAAACAGATTAAAAGGATCTGGGTTTTTTTGTTGTTGTTTTTTAAAAAAACACATTTGCTACAACCAGGTCCCCAAATTTTGTCATCCCAAAAAACTATGCCTATTTTGAAACTTCTTTAAAAAATTCCCCACAGTGGCTCTGGTTAAGACAACAGTTGAGTCTGTTTCGACTACGAAGAAAAATTCCTGGGGAAATTTCTACATTTTTCCCGTTTCTACCCAGTAGAGGCAATACTCTAAGAAATAATTAAATATTTTTAATCAATACCGCTAGTCCAGGGGTAGGCAACCTTGGCTCTTTTATGACTCGTGGACTTCAACTCCCAGAATTCCTGAGCCAGCCACACTGAGGGGAAAAGGAGAGGTTTCCAAGCTGAGCCATGCTGGCTCAGGAATTCTGGGAGTTGAAGTCCACGAGTCATAAAGCGGTCTAGGCCTAGGCCAGAGGTAGGTAACCTTGGCTCTTTTATGACTCATGGACTTCAACTCCCAGAATTCCTGAGCCAGCATGGGGAAACTATGGCCCCCTTCATGACTCGTGGACTTCAACTCCCAGAATTCCTGAGCCAGCCATGCTGAGGGGAAAGGGAGAGGTTTCCAAGCTGAGCCATGCTGGCTCAGGAATTCTGGGAATTGAAGTCCACAAATCATAAAAGAGCCAAGGTTGCCTACCCCTGCGCTAGTCCTTGTCTTACAATCTGTTCATTAAATGACCACTCAATGCTACAACAGCACTGAAAACCATGACTTATTGCCGCTTTTCACGTTTATGACCGTTGTAGCATCCCGTGGTCATGGGATCAAAAATCCAGGCGTTTGGCAACTGACATGTTATTTAGGACAGTTGCATGTCCAGAGGTCGTGCGATCATGATTTTCAACCTCCCCAGCTGGCTTGCGACAATCAAAGTCCATGGGGAAGTCACATCTGCTTAACGACTGCATGGTTCGTTCACTTAACAACTGTAGCAAAAAAGTAGTAATGTAGGGCACAATTTGCTCAACAATAGTCTTGCTTAGCAGCGGAAATTCCAGGTTCCGTGCATACAGGACTACCTGTAGGACTGCTTTTAAGGTGCTTGTCAAACCCCACCTTCTATGTTAGCAGGGGAAAGTTCACGGCCAGATATCAGCCTGGAGGCCCTCCCTTCCATCATGTCGTACGTTCTCTTGGTGATGGTCAACTCCTGCATCGCTCCTGCGCTCCTGCTGCTCTCCTTAGGGGCCTGGTTAGCCACCCCACCTGGAAGAGGAAAAGAGAAGAAAAATGAGGAGAGCAAAGGCACTCCGTGAAGCTCCTTGCATGGAAGGAGTTCTGCCCCGCTAAATAATAATAATAATAATAATAATAATAATAATAATAATAATAATAATGGAGCACCACTTGAACACCATTGGCATTGACAAATTCCCCATTAGTCAATTGCAAAAGGCGGCCTTACTAGGAACTGCTTCCATCCTGCGACGAGATCTGTAATACCATCAAACATCCACATCTGCCTATCCCAGGTCCTGGGTAAGGACTCGATAGGCAGACAAAATGCCAAATCCAGTCTGAACATCTGGCTGACTGTGCGATGATCCATAATAATAATAATAATAATAATAATAATAATAATAATAATAATAATAATAATAATAATAATAATAATAATAATAATAATAATAATAAAAGTTGGAAGGGACCTTGGAAGTCATCTAGTCCAACCCCCTGCTCAGGCAGGAAACCCTATACCATTTCAGACAAATGGCTGTCCAGTCTCTTCTTAAAAACTTCCGTGTTGGAGCATTCACCGCTTCTGGAGGCAGGTTGTTCCACTGGTTAATTGTTCTAACTGTCGGGAAGTTTCTCCTTAATTCTAGGTTGCTTCTCTCCTTGGTCAGTTTCCATCCGTTGCTTCTTGTCCTGCCTTCAGGCGCTTTGGAGAATAGCTTGACTCCCTCTTCTTTGTGGCACCCCGAGATACTGGAACCCCGCTCTCATGTCCCCCCTTGTCCTTCTCTTCGTTAAACTAGACATACCCAATTCCAGCAACCGTTCCTCATATGCTTTAGCCTCCAGTCCCCTAATCATCTTTGTTGCTCTTCTCTGTACTCTTTCTAGAGTCTCAACATCTTTTTTACATCGTGGTGACCAAAACTGGATGCAGTATTCCAAGTGTGGCCTTACTAAGGCTTTATAGCGTGGTATTAGTACCTCACGCGATCTTGATTGAATTTTGTTAATAACTCTTAGAAATAAAGAACGTCGCAGGGAAAATTTGTCTCTTATCTTGCATGCTTGTTTGTTTGCAAGCCTCGTTTGTCTACGGAGGTTCCCAGTCGTCCCGGTCCTGGTTGCCCCAAAGGTGCTTTTTCAAGAGGCAACTGGACATTGTTTTTCCTTGAAGACGTTTCTCATCCAAGAAGCTTCTACCAATTGTAGATCTTCTCAAAGCCACAGAGTCAGCCACCGGAAACAATCAACTGGCAGCCCAGAGACAGAACAATTAAGGATGAAATTAAGCCCAGTGCCAAAACAACCCCTTCCAACTTCATAATTCAAAAAAGAAGATCAGTGAAGGAAGAGACTCAGACTTCACAATTTTGCCAACTGCCAAAGGAAGATGCACCGTTACCCCAAAGATGCTTTTTCAGGAAGCAACTGGATTTTCTTATTTTTCTTTGAAGACGTTTCCTTTCTCATCCAAGCTTCTTCAGCTCCGACTGGATGGTGGGGGAATGGAAGGATTTGTACTTCTTGCAGACAGCTGGTCATTTGTGTTCTTTTTAGAGAGTCGTTGAGGCCACTTGGAGGCTTATCTGTGTCCTCAGGGTCACCTGAGTAGTGCAAATGGGTGTGGACCCTTCTTGGAACTGCGGAAAGGACTGTGTGGTAGACTGGAGATAGATGATGTCTTATCCCTCCCCCTCTGTTGAGAGAGGGCTGTTCAAGGAATATACATCCTTCCATTCCCCACTATCCAGTCAGAGCCGAAGAAGCTTCTTGGATGAGAAGCGAAACGTCTTCGAAGAAAAACAAGGAAGTCCTCGTGAAAAAAGCACCTTGGGGGATAACTACGACCTGGAGGACTGAGAATCTCCATAGACATGCACCATGATCCTGAACACAGATGACTACAAGGCCAAGGTGAACCGTTTTCTGAAGGACACTGCTACGTATGAGACTCTGAAGTAGACCCCACCAGCAGGTTTAAGGGGGGAAAAAGGCAACAATCAAGAAATTTCTTGGATGAGAGGCGAAAGTCTTCAAGGAAAAACAGTCCAGGAAAAACAAAGGAAGTCCAGTTGCCTCTTGAAAAAGCACCTTTGGGACAAGCCTCGTTCAGCACAGAGAACAAAAGCACCCCTTTGTGTATTTGTGTGTGTGCTTGGCCCAGGACAGGACAGCTGGCATGTAATCAAGCCAGGCTGTTTTTATGATCTGCCATCCACAGGGCTTGGAGTTTGGCGACAATGCCGTTATTTTTACAGATCTGCTTTCTAATCTGATTACGGTATGCACGCGGATCAGAGTTTATTGTCATAAACTCTGATCCGCGGGCATACTGAAGTGCCCTATGCACCCCATGTATAAAGCAAATAGGCAATAAAGTCTTCTGGGGCAGACAGCCATCTGCCTCTCCCCGTTAGCGTCCTTTCGTTTCGTTTCCAGCCACCAGGAAATTCCTGGGGACAGGGGAAAAAAACAAAACACAACAGCAACCCTGTATTCTTCCTACGCGATCCCGTCTTCCTTTTCAAATCACCCAGCCCTCCGTCTTCAAAAAAAAAAAAAAACCAGCCCCACGTTTTGAGACACAGGATGTGTGTGTCTCTGTGTGTGTGTGCAAGTGTGCCAGAAAGTTATGGCTGCATCCTGTCATCAAGGAACATCTGCGCCAAAGTGCTTCTAGGGCGAGAAGGAGGAGAGATGGGGGGGCCCTCCTCCTTCCAGCCGACTCCGGTTCAATTATGGCCAAGAGAAAGAAAATGCTTCTGTAAACATTTCCCTGCTTCTTCCAGTCATTATCCCCGTTTAAGAATCGCCAATCTTGTGCAATTCAGCTGGGAGACGGCTGCAAAATCTCGCCTCATTAGAGACCTTTTATTGGAAAAGTATCGTCACGGCATCCAGGCACCGGCAGGGGGGCTGTTTTCCCCGCCTCCCGCCAGCCCCCACCCCAATCTCCCCCTCCTTGCCCATCTGAACACAGAGTCGCAGATGTCCTGATTTTCTTTCCTTTCGCAGTTTCCTTTCCCAGCGCTACGGCTAAGCTTCCAAAGAGAATCTTAAACCCTTCTTTCGTTTTTGAAAAGAAAAAGAGAAAAATATGCTTTTTTTTTTCCTTCCGTACTACAGCAGATGTCCAGGTGGTTACTTGGGGTGAGCGAAAAAGCCAGCCGTTCCTGGTAAAGGAAGCCTGGATCTGAATCAGAATAGAGCTGGAAGGGACCTTGGAGGTCTTCTAGTCCAACCCCCTGCTCAAGCAGGAGAACCTATACCATTTCAGACAAGTGGCTGTCCAGTCTCTTCTGAAAAACCTCCAGTGATGAAGTACCCATGACGTCTGGAGGCAAGCTGTTCCACTGGTTAGAATAGAATAGAATAGAATAGAATAGAATAGAATAGAATAGAATAGAATAGAATGGAATGGAATAGAACAGAATCTTTATATAGAATAGAATAGAATAGAATAGAATAGAATAGAATAGAATATATGGAATGGAATGGAATGGAATAGAATAGAATAGAATAGAATAGAATAGAATAGAATAGAATAGAATAGAATAGAATAGAATAGAATATATGGAATGGAATGGAATGGAATGGAATATAATCTTTAAATAGAATAGAATAGAATAGAATAGAATAGAATAGAATAGAATAGAATAGAATAGAATAGAATGGAATGGAATGGAATGGAATAGAATCTTTATATAGAATAGAATAGAATAGAATAGAATAGAATAGAATAGAATAGAATAGAATATATGGAATGGAATGGAATAGAATAGAATAGAATAGAATAGAATAGAATATATGGAATGGAATGGAATGGAATGGAGTAGAGTAGAGTAGAGTAGAGTAGAGTAGAGTAGAGTAGAGTAGAGTAGAGTAGAGTAGAGTAGAGTAGAGTAGAGTAGAGTAGAGTAGAGTAGAGTAGAGTAGAGTAGAATAGAATAGAATAGAATAGAATCTGGAAGGGACCTTGGAGGTCTTGTAGTCCAGCCCTCCGCTAAGCAGGAGAATTTATATCATCTCAAACAAGTGACTGTCTAGCCTCTTCTTAAAAATCTCCAGTGATGGAGCGCCCATGATTTCTGAAGGCAAGCTGTTCCATTGGTTAATTGTCCTCACTGTCAGGAAGTTTCTCCATAATTCTAGGTTGCTTCTCTCTTTGTTCAGTTTCCAACCATTGTTTCTTCTCCTGCCTTCTGGTATTTTGGAAAATAAATTGACCCCCTCCTCCTTATGGCAGCCTCTCAAATACTGGAATAGTGGTATCATGTCTCCCCTGGTCCTTCTTTTCTCTAAACTAGCCAAACCCATATCCTGCAACCGTTCTTTATATGTTTTTGTCTCCAAGCCTTTGATCATCTTAGTTTCTCTTCTTTGCACTTTTTCCAAAGTCTCAACATCTTTTTTGTAACGTGGTAACCAAAACTAGATGCAGTATTCCGGGTGTGGTCTTACTAAGGCTTTATAAAGCGGTACTAATACTTCATGTGATTTTGATTCTCTCCCTCTGTTTATACAACCAAAGATGGTATTAGCTTTTTTGGCTGTTGCCACCCACTTCTGGCTCATATTTAAGTGATCGTCCACTAGGACTCCAAGGTCCCTCTCACAGTTACTGTTTTTGAGCCAGGTTTTGCCTAATCTGTACTTGTACCTTTGGTTTTTCCTGCCTAAATGTAAGATTTTGCTTTTCTCCACATTGAAACGCATTCTGTTGGATAGGGCCCATTGTTTAAGTCTATCAAGATCTTTTTGGATCCTGAGTTTGTCTTCTGGGGTGTTGGCTACTCCTGCCAGTTTGGTGTCATCTGCAAATTTGATGAGTTTCCCTTCTCTTCTCTCATCTAAGTCATTGATGAAGATATTGAAGAGTCCTGGGCCTAAGACGGAGCCTTGTGGCATTCCACTGCTTACTTCCCCCCATGTGGATGTAGTGCCGTTGAGGACTACTCATTGAATACAAATCCATCTGGTGGTGATGCTGTCTACCCACATTTGTCTAGCTTACCAAGAAGTAGGTT